AACGATCAATTAAGAATATATGAAAGAATATATGTATTTTTTTTCGTCCATATAGCGAAAGGCTCCTGCAACGCTTCTTTATTTGAACATAATTTAAGTGCTGTGTCAATAATATAAACTGATACGACAAATGAGTAAAAATCAAGAAATTCTGGGAAACTGTTGGAGAAATTGGGACAGTTAATATCAAAAATGAGTAATCAAGAAATTTTTTCCGTGCTAAATTTTAACTTCGTTCATTTCGCGCTTAGTAATATGCCATGTCATCCAAATATTTATCGATGGATTGAATCAATAGCGGAAAAAAATTATTCCATACTATTAGGATGAAAATTTTTCTTAGACTCATACTATCTTCCAGCAAAAAATGTGTGGAGTCTGACTAGTTTCCAACAGACTTTGCCATCTATGATATATAGATTTCTTTTACAAGACTAATTGTGTAATTTTTAGTTTTGTAATATACCTTAAACGAATAAAGTTTCCCGATCTTCAATTGAAATGGATTGAAATCTCTACTTTTCTAACAGATGATATAATGGATAGCCTTTTCAAATTTTATAGTGTTTTTCCTTATTAAATGTATATAATGTAACCAGGGGCCTGTTTCTTAAAAAAACTTAAGTAGAAAATCTTACTTAAGTCAAAAAAGACAAAGACTTTTTTGGACTTAAGTTTGACTTAAGTCAGATTTTCTACTTAAGTTTTTTTAAGAAACAGGTCCCAGATAGTTGCTGATGATGACGATGAATGTTTATCAAAAGATCATTTTCTATCAAATAAAGTTTGTTTCTATTACATTCAGCTTCCCGATATGACTACAGTATTTAGAGCATTCTAGACAGACGCATACTTGTCCAACTTTAGTTTTCTCGAACTGAAAAAAAACATCAAGTCACAATATTGCACTCTTACTTTTCATAACGAGTACTTAGTTGATCACTTCTAGACTTACACAAAACAGTCAATATCATGTTAATTATAGAAGAAAAACTGTCCTTCTTATTGTCAAAGTTAAGTACTAGAATGCAGTTCGTAAATATTTTAAAGAGAAAATTATTTACTTGATTGTAATTTCAAAGTAAGACATTTCTCCAGCAAAAACATAAGTTCTTCCTGTATTCTTTAGCGGTTAGTGAATGCTGATCTATGATATACGTAGATTAATTAACTCTTTATGTACTTGAATATCACCTGATGATTTTATAGAATCACATGATATGCATTTTTTTTATATAATAGTATATTTGCTCGTTTCATTCGAAAAATCAGCTGCTCTACTTGTTTTGTATGTCTTAAATATTTTACCTAGACAAGTATTCGGCCATTGTTTGGGTTGCTGATACTTTGTACTTTGACGTACTTTTTTCTTACATATTCATATTTACATTATGACTTGGATTACAAAAAGAACACAATGAAAAAAATTCAAAAATCAAATATTTTTACGTTTTTTCTGTCAATATCTACGTCAGAAATGAAAAATTTTTGTAGAATAAACCTTGAAAGTGGAGTGACGAAGAGATTATTCATCTACGATGTCTATGAAATAGCACATTTCTGTTCAATAGTGGCAAGATAGATTCATTCTTCTTCATAACGTGGACTTTCTTCACTTCTGCAAATCATTAGCGAACAGATTCACGTTTTGTTCTGAAAGAAAAAATGATAGATAAAGAGAAAATGCTGTACTGATGGCCACCCGGTCAACATGATCTGTTTCGTAATTACGCACAGTAGCGGTCCCTTTCATCCGCTTACGCGTTTTATTTCGTTCTCCGCCATTAGTTTTCATAAACAAAATTTATCATGCGCATTATTGAATCAATCTGAAAAAAATTATTAACGGCAGAGATTGATAATCTACCTTTTGCGCTTTATTTTTACATTTTTTCCGTAGCTGAGAAAGAATGAATAAAATTTATTTTTCTTAGATAACCTGTATAGTATTCATTGTTCGATTAAACACATGATCTACTTACAACTCGTGATGAAGATTTTATTGTAGTATCACATGAGATGCCCATACAGTAAGCCACACACACACCTCATCAAATAGGAAACAACAAGACCAGTCCCCCCCCCGTTTAAAGCAGTTTTGAAAACCTATAAATTGAGAGGCGGATACCAATGACTTCAGTCGAAATTCTAAATAATCTTTTAATAATTATAATTAATAAATATAATATCATCTACGAATCTCAAATAACATGAAAACAGTAAGCAATAATGATCTGATTGTATCTCTTTTTGTGTTATAATCAAACATATTGATATTATTTTAGAAAACGTTTGCCTGTTTCTTTGATATTGATGGAGTAATAACAAAAGGAGCTAATTTTATTGCTGCTGCTAAACCGGCCATACAGGTGGGTACAATAAAAATCAATATGGTACTTTATTTTTATTGATAATTTTGTTTACTTTTTATTTCAGAAATTAGTTCAACAAAAAATACCTGTTATCTTCGTCAGCAATGCATGTATGCTAGAAAGTGAAAAAGCACGTCAGTTATCCTTATTATTAGGTGTCAATGTAAGTATTCTAGTGTAGAGTGAACAATCGCTGTATCATATAAATAATATCTTTTATTTTTCAGATTCGTCCTGAACAAATAGTACTTAGTCATACTCCGATGAGAAGTTTAACCAATTTTCATTCAAAACATGTACTTATATCTGGACAAGGAAATTGTGAAGAAATAGCTCGCCTGTAGGTTATTAAAACATTTCAATAGAATCTTTCTTTAATGAATACATGTTTTTTAGTACTGGTTTCAAAAATATAACTACTGTTGATAGAGTATGTGAATCGTTTCCAGAACTTGATATGGTGAATCATTCTCATCGAACTCAGCTGGTAAAAGAAAGATACTAAAGAAATATTAACCTATTCTAAACTATTATGAACTTTCAGAGCGAAATGATCAAAACACAAGGTTTAGTACGCGATGAAAATTTTCGTCCAATTGATGGTATGTAAAAGAATAACTTTTTACTAATGAAGTTTACTATAAATGATATCAATTTTTATTAGCTATTGTTTTGTTTGGTGAACCTACTAATTGGGAAAGTTCATTACAAGTCATAACCGATCTACTTCTAACAAATGGAAATCCTTCTGTTTTACCAAATGAAATTCCTTCTCCACATATTCCAATCATCGCCTGTAATAAAGACCTTGTATTCAAAGCAACAGCTGATATTCCTCGATTTGGACATGGAGCATTTCTAACATGTTTGGAAGCATTGTATAAGGTAAATAAGAATACATTTTATTTTATAACAACAAACAATTACTATTTCAAAAAAATTTTTTCATTATAGAATTTAACAGGAAGTGATTTGCATTATACAGAATTCGTTGGAAAACCGTTTGGAATCACGTATGAATATGCCGAAATTGTTGCTAATACTTTATCGGTGAGAAATGGTCATGAATTAATTGAAAAAATATATTTCATTGGGTATGTATTGAAAATAATATTAAATCTTATGAGATAAAATATTATATATAATTTTTTTTAATCAAATTTAGTGATAATCCTGATGTTGATATATTAGGAGCAAATGCCTACAATGAACAGTTAAAGATGCGAAATGTCGATGGTTTATTGAGCGCAAAAGAATGTGAATCAATATTAGTATGTACAGGTGTCTATGATCCTTTGAAAAAAAATATTGATACCAAAAATGTGTTAAAAAAGCCAAAAGTCATTGAAAATGATGTAT